ACATTTTTTGAAACTCGGACTTGGGGGGGGACACCAAGGGCAACATACGTAACCTAAACATCTGTACCCCCATAATATGTTGAAATAAAAGAAAAAAAATTGCAACCCAATAAAATCAGAGAAAGATGTTTCTCTTATTTGTTTGCTTTTGAGGAGTATCTGCCAAGTTAAAAATTGACATAACTGAAATATAAATTACTAGTAATTTAAAGCACTAGACAAGTCCTAAAAGTTCTAGCAATCATCTGAGACATAACAAAATGCTAAGGGACAAAATAACAGTGTTTTGTTGGTTTTCAAGTTATTGCTAAGTTTCTTAACAGAAGCATCTCTGTTTAAAAGAGTAAACTACTTTAACAGAAAGCCAAAGAAAGAAAGAAAGCTTATCTTTCAGAATCTGACTTTATAAGTAGTAACACTGTACTATTCCCATTTACAAAAGAATCTTAATGAAAGAATAACAGGATTCCTTTGATCTTTGCTTTTATTTTATTTAAAATTTGTTATAAATTTTGGAATTTTCTTTTCTTTTCTTTTTCTTTTTTTTAATATGCACAAAGACATGAAATTTTGGAATTTTATCATAAAATATTACAGGCACAAAGGCAGAAAGAATTATACAATAACATCATGTATCCACCACCCAGCATAAACAAATTGAAATCCCCGTTTCTCTCCTCTGTCCCAATCCCCTCCTCCCCCAACCGCGGTAACCATCACCATGAATTTAATGCTTATCACCTCCATATATTTCTAAATACAATACTGTACACTCATGTACCCTAAACAGTAAATAGTACCAATAGTATATATTGTAAAAATTATATCATTGACATTATACATGGATTTTGTCCAACCAATGGTATAATACATTTTTTTCTCTCCTACATTTTTTCTGCACATTTTGTCCATGTGAACATGCGTGGCTGTGCTTCACTCATTTCACTATCAGAAGGTGGTCCAATGGTTTGATATATCACAACTTATATATTATCCGTTCTTCTGATCAGGATTCTCTTTAAATAGAGCATTTAAAATATTATTTAATTGAAATCTCTGTTTTTCTGTCTGGTTTTACCTCCAATTTCCTTATTCCTCAGAGGTGCTTTTTTCCAGTAACTCAGTCTTAAATATTCAAAAACAAAACAAAAATTATTTTTTGTGACTTTAAAACTAATACATGCCCATTTTAAAGTAAATACACGAATGTGTGGTCTCGACCCCAGCAATAAGCACTGTGGACATTTTGCTGTATTTCTTTCCAGCAGTCTTGCTGTACCTATGTATTACTCTTGATTTGCATGAACCCAATGCTACCAAAAGAAGCAATTTTCTTTGCCATTAAAAAATCCCTGGAAATAACATTTTTAATGATTATAAAGCATTCCTGGCTGTGCTCCAATCGTTAGGCACTTAGGCAGCTACTGAATTTCACTCTTTTTCATTTGACAAATGTTTAGTGAGCATTCGCCAAGTGCTATGTGCTCATGTTAGGGAAGAGACGGCCCCAGCGAAGAGGGAAGATTGTATTTCTCACTGAACATTAAATAGAAAATAAAAACTATACAAGTAATTATACGGTTACTGTTGTAATACGTACTTGAAAGAATAAGCCTAAGATGAAACGATGAGGCAACAGGGAGGCAGGCAGCAACACGCAGGGTGGGGAAGGCTTCCAGCAGGAGCAGAGGTTTCCGCTGGCGGGGCTCTAAGGTCCTGGAGGTGGTCACCCAGGAGGTGTGTGTCGGAAGGTGTTCCGTGTGGGGGGCGCGCCCCTGCGGTGGGGCTGGGCGCAGGAACTGGACCTGAGCCTGGCGGGGGAGGAATGGCACCCCGTGATGCAGACGGGCCAGCCTACCTCTTCGCCCATCTGGTTCTCCCATAAACGCAGCGTCCCAAATGCTGAAGGACTGGATCGCGGGACCTGAGTGACTCACATGCCTGTAAGAGTTTGATATTAAAGGATAAAGTATTACCCACGGTTCTAGGTTTTGGCTGCCAACACCAGTGCTATCTCTTTGCAGCTGGGGCCAACAGCTCTGAGTATTGCTGCTGGAAATGGCTGGGCTGGAAACAAAGTCAACCTCTATGATGAATCGTTCTCTCTCTCTCGTGCTGTGCATGCACCAAGCTGAGGACAGAAATGGCTGGAAGAAATAACTTTATTATTAATTATTACAAACATTTATAAAATATATCGTTAAAATAGCAAAGATACGTGTGTGTGTGTGTGTGTGTGTGTATCTTTGCTATTTGAATAGTACACACACAAATACTTACGGATACACCAAACAAGAACTATGCAAAGAGGGCCTGGATTGAGGGGAACCCCACAAATTCACTGAGGGACATGAAAGATGTTAATAAGTGACAAGACACGTCATTAAGGAAAGAAGTATATCAAAAATAAATCGATTCTCCCAAAGCTTTATTAAAATTTAACAAATATCAAGAAAATTTAAAAGGGGATTTTTTTTTGCTTAAAATAACTCTAGAGTTTGTTTGAAGAAATAATATTGAAGAGTAAAAAAAAATTTTCCAGAAAAAAAGCCACTAAAATAATTACAAATATTTCTTCTGGTGGATATGAGTGGGTGGTAAGGGTGAGGCAGAGGCTGCTGGTTTTCATATAAGCCCCAAACGTTTCCTTAATGCTATGTCTGCTTTACTATAATTAAAAATATAAAAAAATATACTTCAGGATATAAAATAAACAGTGTTGTGTTGTATTGAGCTACACAGGAATATACAGATAGATCAGTGGGACTGAAAAGATAGCCCAGAATTTTTATAAGAATTAAAGATAAAAACAATAGTTTAAATCAGTGGCATGATTGTTAATACTTTCCAAATAAAGTGAAATAAATTGAAAGCCGTAACTCACAAACCAATACAAGAATAATCAGAGAATTAAACTTGAAAAGGAAAAATTCTTTTTAAAAAGGAAGAAACCATAAAACAAGGAAACAAATTCATAGGAGAATCTGTGTGTGTGTTTGAGGTACAATAAAAGAAAAATATATAGTAAAAGTGAAGATATTTGACTCACAAAAACACCTCTATATTCCAGAAAAACACGTAAGTAAAATTAAAAAGCCAATGACCCAATGTATTAAAATTATGTCAGCATTAATATTAAATTTTAAGGGTTCCCTACTAATTAAAAATAATAAACATCCTAACAAAAAATAGGAAAATAACATAGATAAATAATAAAAAGAGGAAGAACCCAAACGAACAAAAATATCGATAAGTACTGGAGCAATTTCAAATTCTCTAATCAAGGAAATGCATCGTAAAATAACCATGAAACTCCAGTAACAGTGAACGAGCATTTCCAGCGCCCAGATCTTGCTTTCTAATGCTACACACAGATGAGTGTGCACCGCGGGCTGTGAATTTTCTTAGACTTTTAGAAAGAAACACGTCTCAGTGTGAGGCCTCTGGAACCGGCCTGGCCTCCGCACCAAGCAACCGGGCAAAGCGCCCCCTCCACTCCCAGCCACCCGGGGCCCCCAAGGAGCCGGCGCCAACCAGAGAGGAAGCGCGGTGTGTCTGCGAATCCCGCTCACCTCGCTTCCACCCTCAACACCTCCCCCAGGTGAAATGGTCTGTAAGAGTCACAGCATAAAATACGAAATAGAGGAAAACAGAAAGAGACCTGCTCTTCCCTTTCAGTTTTCTCCCTGAGCCCCTGGGGGGACGGCAGGCGCTGTCTCCTGGGCCTGGACACCTGTCCACCGCTGCCGCCTGCCGGAGAGCGTCCCTGGAGCCGGGGCGCACGCACTCAGGCTACCGGGTCAACGACTTCACGGTTAGGGCTCAGGTGCCGACTCCGCCCCGGGCCTTTACGCCTCTAAGGAGAATCCCCGGGTAGGGCGAAGTCCTGCCCCAGGAGTGACCTTCCCATGGTGGGAACTTCGGGGGCAGGGCCGGCTGCGCACCTGGGCCTCGCCTGGGGCCCGCGCAGGTGGGAAGGGCAGTCGGGACACGCGGCGGCGAGCGCGAGCTGCGCAAAGCGAGGAGAGCCCAGCGAGAAGGGTGACAGTGGCAGTGGCCCCGACAGTGACACGTGTCATCCCTGCCGCCAGGTTCCAGGCCCTGCCCACAGGGGCTCCAACGAGCGGTGCTCCGTGGAGTCCCCGCGACAACTGGGCCCGCAGAGCCCCGCCAGGCCCCTCCCCGCCGGCGCCGGTACGGACGCGGGAGCGGTCGCACCTGGGCCTGCAGCGCGGCGGGAGCACACGCCCTGCGTCCGGCCGTCCGCGCGGCGCTGGACCCTGTCTCACTTGCGTCGCACGCGTGAACCCTGCGGTCCCCGGCCCGCTCCTGCGAGCTGGAACCGAGCGAGTCCCGCACCAGGCCGCCGGCAGGGGTGGTCGGAGAAACGACGCCAGCGGCTCGAGCCCGAGGGCCCGGACACCCGCGCGCCCACATGGATTCCACGACACCTGCAGCATCGACCTTTCCGCCGGATGGCCGGACGGGAGAAGGGTCACTCTGAAGACCATCGCCCTCCGCCAGCCGCGATGGCTTCTCTGTGGCAGAGGCGCGCGCCTGCGCAGGTGTCCCCGCGAGGCTGGCACAAGCCCTTCCAGCACGAGCCCCGGCGGAGCAGACCCGGCCGGCACCCCGCACCCCGGCACCCCGCACCCCGGCACCCCGCACCCTCAGCCTGCCCTGAGTGCTGAAACTCAAAGGGGTCCATGTCAAGGGCGTTTTCATTCCTCCTGCGCTGTCAATAATTCTTGCTTGGATGGAAGGTTCAGTTCTTAACTTCCTCCCATGCGCCCCTTTCCCCTGTCCCTGGTGCTTCCAGTGTGCGGGCCCGGCGTCCTGCAGGGGCGCGGCCGTGGGGACAGGTGCGCCGGCCGCCACCCTCTCTTCAAGGTGGCTGAAGGGCAGGACCAGGCCTCCGCTGGGCTGAGGCGAGGGTCCCCCTCGTGGTGGGAAGTTCCAGTTCTAGAAGGTTATAGACTTTCTACAGGAGAGGAGGCGGCTGCGGGGTCCCCCGCCGCGGGAGTGGGGGAACGTGCGAGTCCCCAGTGTAGGCCACGGGCTCCTCCCCGGGGAGAAGGAGAAGTTCCTACCGCTTGGTCCTCCATGTACACAGCAAGCAGAGTCGCATCTTTGTATTCAAATGTAAAAGCAACAGAATTATACATCTGGGTGTGTAGATATCTGTGTTTCTCTAAGAGAGAAAACCATTCTGGCCTCCAGAGTGACCTTCCAGGCCCGCGCAGGGGTGAGGAGCTAGGCGCGGCGGCTGTGGGTGCCGGCAAGTGAGCCTGCTGTCCCCTCACCCCCACTGTGGTTCCCTGCCTGCCCCCGAGGGCTGCACACCGGCTGCTGACTGGGACGCACCTGACTGGCAGCTGTCACTGAGCTGACGTATGGCCCAGAATACACACGTGCTTGTCCACTCAGGGCCTGGAAACACAGCAGGCCACTGAGCTGGCCACCCGCAACATGGTTGGGGGGTGTCTTCCAGTGGGAGGAGCATGTCACTCAAGCAGGCCTTTTGATACATTAGACATTAAAAAAACAAAACAGAAGTTCAGATTTCAATCCTATTTGCAGGGTTTCTAAGTCTTCCTGTTTTACAAAATTGCTTGCTGGTTTCAATGGCCTCCTCCCACTCTGCTCTCTGAGCACAGGGGGACAGGCAAAAGTCAACACACCTGTCACTTTGTATCCTGGTGTCTTCTCTGAATACAAGATACTCCTTTCATCTGTTAAGATTCTACAGGAATTACTTTTTTTTCTATAATAAAAAACAAACTCCACCTTCAAAAAATTATACATGAAAACTCGCCTAAATCAATATAACACTGCTGCAACCACAGTAGAGGACTTGGGCCCTATTTCACAGCTGTGCCGGTCTATCGAACAGGAGCTGATCCCGCCCTAGGGGGAGGCTCCAGTGCCTTCCCTGCAGCCCAGGGGGGCCTCATGCACCAGAGCAAGTTCTGATGTGGGATTCCACTGCGGGTGGGCCCTGCGGGCTTCCCATTTCCCTGGCACAGTTGACTTTTTCTAAGAGCTAGGTAAAAAGCTCCATTTCTTTATAAGCACAAAGGTTTCTTAAAAAGCCTGGCTTAAAGAACCAACTTCAGATAAATCTCTCTTATTCCAAATTCTTTAAATATCTGCAACTTAAAAAGAGGGAAAACAAAGTGACATACTGCTTTTAAGGACAGAATGGGGGACCAGCTCTTACTACAATGAGACTCTGTAATAAACGCATATCTACATAAATACCTTCCACTTCTTTTTAGGGCCAGGACGATGCCCAATTAGCTAGTGATTTGGGTCAAATGGGTGGTGCATTTATTCAACGCTAATGTAATTATGTGCACACACCAGGCACGTGTTTGCATGGGAGTTACCTCAAGGAATGCGTATAATCTCGAAACAGGATTCTGTGGGGAAACCAGCTGGGGAAGACCTCACTTGAGGCCGCGACAAGCAATGGAGGATGGCACCGGAGTTCTCAGCAGTTTCACCCCAGGCCCGCCCTCACTCCCTGCAGTTTCTCTGACTCAGTCTTCAAGTGTGTTCATCAGAAGGTCAAAGTCCCACAAGAGTGGGGTGGCCATCCCTCCAGACTCAAAGCCAGGGTGATGCGAGCTCTCTGCGCCACTTCCAGAAGCATCCACCTGGAATGGAAGGTGGGAGTCATAGTGTCAACATTTCCAGCATATTTCATTTGTCCATGGAGATAAGAAAACAATATTTGCAGTAGGCTCCCCCAGGTCGTCTGAAGTGCAGGGTGAGTGGGTGAGCGCAGAGTGGACAGCAAGGGAAGTCTGGAAGAGCCTTGGTCTTTACAGTTCTCGCTCCCCTTCTCTCTCTTTCTTCAACGCTGTCCTGCTGTGGGCCACACCCCCAAGCCAGTGCCCAGCATGGCTACCAGTGAACCTGCACTTTCAGAGCAAATCTTCCACCACCCAAAGTCAGGAACTTCTGATTCCTTTTCTTTCACTCTTTCTAGTCCTTCATTCCCAACTGCATGGGTTGCTGGTGACAAGGAAGTGACTGCAACAATTTCCACAAAACTATAAAGGATCCACTGCCAGCCCAGTTGGCGATCCCTCTCCCAGGGAACTTTGCATCTTAAGAGCAGCTTGTGAATCCAAATGGAACCTAAGGAAAGGTCAGAGTTACTTTCATTTAAGAAATTATTATTACGTAAGCATGGCTATGGGTAAGTTAGGCCAGGTAGCCTACTTCTTCTGCCCTGTTCCCTTTCTATTGTGTAGAGATGGTATTAAATATAGGTTGAATATACCCTGTCCAAAATGCTTGGGTACAGAAGTGTTTTGGATTTTGGAATTTTTCAGATTTTGGAATATCTCCATATACATAATGAGATATCTTGTGGATGGGACCCAAGTCTAAACATGAAATCCATTTGTGTTTTATATATGCCTTATACACATAGCCTGAAGGTAATTTTATACAATTTTTTAAATAATTTTGTGAAGGAAATAAAGTTTTGACTGCATTTCGACTGTGACCCATCACAAAGTCAGGTGTGGAATTTTCCACTTGTGGCATCATGCTGACGCTCAAAAAGTTTCAAATTTTGGAGCATTTCAGATTTCAAATTAGGGTTGCTCAACCAGTACAATACTTTAAAACTATGATTACCAGGTTTTGATGGTGTATTTCTATCAGATAACAATGAAGCACCAGCTTGATTTTTTGATTTTACATATATATGCACTACTGCACGAATATGCTTTGTTTACTATAAACACATTTTAAACAATACTTTAAAACTATTTTATCTTAACTTTAAAAATATGCTTTTGTTTTCACTCTGATTTTCGAGTGCAAGCAGTGAGACTGAGTATGCTCCTCCAGTGTCAGCTGAATACGTACACCAAGTGCTGAATGAGAACAGCCTGTGAGCACACCCGGCCCCGCCCTCCACAGCGGGTGCTCACTCCCTCTTCAGGGGTGTCTGAGCGCCTCTGACGTGCATACGGAGGGAGGACGAGGGGTCAGTCTGTACAGTGTTAGTAAAGTGTGATTTTCTCATTTGATATTAAAAAAATGAAAAGATAAAAGAGTTTTAATGGCTCTTACTGTGCCCCCATTAATTATCTTGGGGTGCACTCACTGATCCATACACTTCATTTGAAACAAGAACAGGCTCAGATCCAGGTTTTGTGGAGCTTGGGACTTTTACAACTTCTGAGAATAAACTCTTTAAGAAAAAGAATACCCCTCAAACGCCTTACTTTTGCAACTTTTAAATGCTTGTAACCCTGAAAATACATGACTAGGGGACTCCAGGGCCACTGAAGGGACCCCACAACCATCAGCAAGGCCTGGCTAAGAAACCAGCTTTCAGCAGCTTTGAGGAGGCTGCTCCTGAAAGAAAGACAACTTGGGAAAGACGACTCCTTTGCAAAAGGCTGCCTAGTGGACTGGAATTTAAATTTCCTTCTCTGCTTGGGCTCTCTTCAATGGGCCATCACTCTTAGAAAATCTACCTTCTGGGCTAAACTGTTTAAAGAACAGTCCCTGCAGCACAGCGAACTTCCAGGTCTGGAGCTGATAAAAACATGAGTTCAAATGTTTAGATAACATCACAGGCATCCGCTGTGGCTGTCTCTTCTTTTCTCTTTCCTCCTAAAACTCAAGCTGTGGTCTCAGAATAGCAGTGCTCAGGGCTTGAGGAGGAGGATGTCTAACGTTTTAGTAAAGAACGCTCCGGACTTACTAAAATAAGTCACGCTGTCAGCTCCTGCCCATTAAGGAGGGGCCTGTTTCCCTATTCCTGACAGGAGCGAAATCTGAGATGAAACTAGTCTTGCAGAAATCTCGGCAGACTCCCTTTTAAGGCATTGTTTTTAATGTAAGATGGCAAAGGAAAACCCAAGAAAAGGCCATGGTTAACAGAGGACATTTATGGCCCTGAACAATGAAAGGCAGACGGTGGAGGTGGGGATGTACTTGAGACAAGGATGAGCAAAGGGTTAAAGTGGAGACAAATTCTGTGGAAGGTGGGAAGGCCCAGAGATTTTATTTTACAAAAATCACAAATCCATCCCTTCCTTCAGCCCCTTACTCCACCGGTGCCTCAGACCCGTGGGCCTCACTCCAGATCATCCTCTTCTCACACGTCTGCCTCCGACATTTCTGCACGTGAGACGACTGCCGCCCAGCAGGGACGCGGGCGCCCCCTGCTCAGGAAGGCGGTCCAACCCAAGTGTTAGTTCTCCCAGGACACCGAGGCTTTGGGACGAACGGCTGCAGGGTCCGCGGTCCCCACTGCCCGGAGCTCTGGCTTCTGGGAAGTGGCCCGAGAACCAGCTCTGACTAACAGGGACGGACGGGGCCGCCCCGGGCCTGGGGACCGCGGCCTTTCCGCCCTCCCCTTGCCAACTGTCGTTCCTCCGTGGGCGCCGTGCGGGGAGGCGATGGTCTTTCCAACAACCCGCAGGCCTCTCCGCCGCCTCAGCCCGGCGGCCCGCGGGAAGGGTCATTCTGAGGCCGTGCGTCGCGTTGACGTGGCTGGCGCCACCCCTGCGGTCGCGTGCGGAGCTTCCTTCCGGGAGGAAGCGCGGCCCCCTCTTCCTCTCAGCTCCTCCTCTGCGGACGAGCCGGGGCCTGCTCGCCTAACTCTGCGCAGGCGCTCGGCGAGCGGCGGCAAAATACTTTGACACCAGGAGAGGCT